TTGTGACCATAGGTGAGGGTAGCGACATGGATCGACCGTTTGAGAGCAATTGAGAACTTCGCTTTTACACTTAGGAATAAAATTATTAAATAAAGTTGTCATTGTGATTCTTATATACACATTGCAATTCTGCTCATTAATTAGTTGGCACTCTGTGTACTGAGGGTCAAAAGCATCAATTCAGTGCTAAGCTTGAATTGAATTATTGAGACTGACATAATGAGCTGTAGAGGGATTTGCAAACATGCAAAAATTCTGGGCCAAGCGAGTCTGAACAGAATGTCCGGACTTAGATAATAATAAGAATCAATAGGCAGCGAATTGCCAGCTAATATTAATACAAGAAGGCTAGAGAGCGAGGTGTTTTTCTTTCTCTATTTTGTTTCTAGGAAAAGGAGCAGATGCAGACAAGGTCAGATGTGGATACAGTGGGGGAGAAGATCCACTTGGGAGACAACAGAACCGGACACGTTGTTTCCCAGAAGAAGTAGTCATAATAACACTTGTTTTTGTTGTGGTATAAAATTGTAATACCTGCTTACAGGCTCATCATTTTTGTGAAGCAGACCTCTGGTTCACATTGAGGTCTAGCATGCTGAAACTTCAAGTGCTGAAATGAATTTAATATTTTAAAAGACCGTTTCTCTTTCTTTAAGGAAGCAGAGGAGAAAGACTAACTCCAATACACTCAGCTCTCTCTTCAGCACCAATCCGTCTGTCAGTCTCCCGCTCCCCTCTCCTATCACTCGCAAACAAGATACTTAAATTCCTCCACTTGGGCCAAGAACCTGTCCCTGATCTGGAGTGGGCACTCCACCCTTTTCCAGCTGAGGACCATGGCCTCAGATTTAGAGGTGCTGCTTCTTATTCCCACCACTTCACAGTCAGCTGCAAACTGTTCCAGTGTGAGCTGGAGGCCATCACCTGATGAAGCCAACAGAACCACATCATCTGCGAAAAGCAGAGATGAGGTTCTGAGACCACCCAAGTGAAAGTCTTCCATCACTTGGCTACGACTAGAAATTCTGTCCATAAAAATTCCGAACAGAATCGGTGACAAAGGGCAGCCCTCGTGGAGTCCCTCATCCACCGGAAACAAGTCTGACTTATTCCTGGCTATGTGGACCAAGATTGGTACTCAAGGCAACTAATCAATGGTCATGACAATTTGCATATTAATGATCAAGAAACTGACCTCGCAGTCCATTTTATTATTCAGTGGGCTGGTTTCAGTCCTCGTGCAATGTACTGTTTATAAGGTTGGAGAAACCTGCAGTCAGCTGAGACTGAAGAAGTCACTTGGATAAGGATGTTTCTCCCTCTTTTTTTTTTTTTTTTTTTTTTTTAAACT